AGCACTCTACTGAGGGCAACATAGTGAGACACTGTCTCAAAAAAAAAATTTTTTTTTTAATTTTAGACTGGCCAGTCAAGAGACCACATTTTGGATTGTTCTATGTTTAGACTCCAGGCTTCTCAAGTTAAATTTAGAGGGGTCTGTCTTCTCACAAGCTACAAACTAGCTTCTCCCTACCCCCTACTCCATATGTTTCTACCTCTCTCCCCACTCTTCATTTCGTTACTAAAGCTACAGACCTGGGAAACGTCCTCAGCTCCTGCCTCTCCCACATCCTTTTGTATGTTAGGGGAACAGTGACTATCTCATTGGGCTGGTTATAAAGAAATTGCTACACTCCCAAACTCACACTTGCACACTTAGTGAGGCAGAGAATGGACCTCTGCAATGCACATTTTTCCTTTGCTGGCCTGACACACTCTGATAGGTTCTGCCAATAGTGAGAGATCAGAAGGCAGAATGGAGAGGGGACTCGTTCCTTCCTGACTGCTTCCTCTGTCTCTCGGTGTCACCCAAGTAGCAACTCTTCCATGTCAGCAGCCTTTGGTTCCAGCTCTGGACTTTTCTCCATTCTCCCAGAACAAGTTTCATTGCATCTCAGAGATAGCAGCAGCAGCCAGCCAGCAACCATCCTGAGAGGTCTGACTCCCAATACTACAGGGACCTTTCTCTGTGCTTCTGAGGTACCAGGGTAAGTTGAGACATCATGTTCTCCTCAGGGTCTGGGTTCCAGCTATTTAGGGCTCTTCCTGTAAGTGTTTGGTCCCAATAATCTCAAGGTTGACCCTTAATTTCCTCTATTTACTTCTTTTATTGAGACAGAGTTTCACTGTCACCCTAGGTAGAGTGCCATTGCATCATAGCTCACAGCAACCTCAAACTCTTGGGCTCAAGAGAGTCTCTTGCCTCAGCCTCCCAGGTAGCTGGGACTACAGGTGCCTGTCACAACACCCAGCTAGTTTTTCTATTTTTAGTAGAGATGGGATTCTCACTCTTGTTCAGGCTGATCTTAAACTCCTGAACTCAAGCAATCCACCTGTCTCAGTTTCCCAGAGTGCTGGGATTATAGGCATGAACCACTGTGCCTGGCCCCCTATCTACTTCTTATAGTTACTACCCCTTTGTTCCACTTGTTCTTTTTAATTCTTCAATATTTGAGATATCTTGAATAACTCCTTATATTAATTTTCTCAGTTAAGATAACTGCTATGGTATGGCAGTTAGTCAAAAACTTAAAAATAGAATTACCATATGATCCAACATTCCACTATTTGGATATATACCCATAAGAATTGAAAGCAGGGTCTTGAAGAGATATTTGTACACCCGTGTTAATAGTAGCATTATTCCCAATTGCTAAAATATGGAAACGACACAAGTATTCATTAACAGATAAATGGATAAGCAAAATGTACCATACACATACACATATTATTCAGCCTAAGAAAGGAAGAAAGTCTGGCATACGCTACAATGTAGATGACCCTCAAGCGGACATTATATTAAGTGAAATAAGCTAGGTACAAAAAGACATATGTACACATATGACGATAATAACCTGCAAAAAGACAAATGTTGGATGGTTCTACTTCTATGAGACAGAATAGTCAAAATCATAGAGACAGAAAGTAGGAAAGGGGAGGGGTGCTTACTGTTTAATAGGTGTAGAGTTTCAGTTTTATAAGATAAAAAGAGTTAGGGAGATGGATGGTGGTGATGGTTCCACAATATTATGAATGTAATAGCACTGAACTGAACTTTTTTTCTTTTTTTTTGAGACAGTCTCACTATGTGGCCCTCAGTAGAGTACCGTTGCATCACAGCTCACAGCAACCTCAAACTCTTGGGCTCAAGGGATTCTCTTGCCTCAGCCTCCCAAGTAGCTGGGACTACAGGTGCCCACCACACCTGTAGCCTGGCTATTTTTTTGTTGCAGTTGTCATTGTTGTTTAGCTGGCCCGGGCTGGTTTCAAACCCACCAGCATG